ACTCTGGAAGAAAGAAGCTGACCTGTTCTTGTATCATTTTCAAGGATGGATTGAGCAGAGAGTGACATCCTCAATGCAAATTAATTACACCAACCCCTCAAAAAAAAAAAATTCCTATCCAAGAAAAACCTGTTAAATAAATTTGAATGAGGCCTCGTGACTTCCCCCTCTAAAATACCTGCTTTCCCACTGGCAGCAGGAGGAATCCAAAGCAGTTAGCTCACACAGTGCTCTCTTGGAGAGCTGAACTGATTTTGTTGAATATTTACAGAACTCCATCCTACATCCTACAGTTATCTGGCCTATATTTGGCAAAAGTGTGTGCAACTGGATAAGGGGCTGAGTATTGGAAATGTCAGACAAAATTCATTACTGTGTTTCTCATGTCAAGTCTACACGAATCGGCCCTCAGCAGAAGAGTAGCTTGTCTATGCTTGTGACACAGATGACAACTGATGAAACCACTTGAGCCACAGTACTGGTTTAGATGGAAAGGAAGGTTCCATCCAGTTGGTGGGTTTCTTTTCAGTACTCAGAGCATGAAGAAGAGGCTCCTGTGCAGAACTCTAATTTCTTGTCATTAATGTAATTTATTGCCAATCCATTAGGAAATCCAAAGAATGCCATGTTTCATATTGACATAATGTACTTTTGCTTCCATATGTGAACTGAAAATAGCTGGTTATTCTGTTTTTTAAGTAATGAAGCCAAAAGGTGGTGGAACTGAAATTTCTGGAAGCAGACAAAATTCAGTGGAAATACTGAATCTTTGTGGAATACAGTGGAAATACTGTTGGAAAGATTTTAATATCAAAATGTTATGCACACAGGGGAAAAAGTGCACAGTGTGAGCAGACTACCTGATGAGTAAGTCTGTTACTGTGATCTAAAACTTAAAATCAGCGAGTATCAGAAACCAGGAAAAGTAATGGTAATTAATTAGAATGCATTGGAAAACATGGAACCTGAGCATAATGTAAATGTTATGGAATAAGAGGTGGATACTGTTCTGTAATTTTTCTTCTTAGTAGCCAGCACAGTGCTGTTTTGTGGATTCAGCAAGGGATTTGATATGAGAAGAATGTTGATAATACACTGATGTTTTTAGCTGTTGTTAAGAAGTCAAGGACTTTTCAACTCCCCATGTCCTGCCAGCGTGCAGGTACACAAGAAGCTGGGAGGGAGCACAGCCAGAGCAACGGACCCAAATTGGCCAGTGGCCATCTCATACAATGTCATGCTCAGTATATAGATAAGGGTAGGGAAGCTGGCTCTCTCTTTCTAGGACTGTGGTTTCAGGATTTTCTCTTCTCTGGGATCGCTAGCTGGGAACAGGCTGGGCGTCAGCTGGTGAGTGGTGAGCAATGGCATTGTGCATTACTTATTTGTATTTTCTATTATCATTATAATTTTATTTCAGTTATTAAATTGTTTTTTATCTCAATCTATGAGTCTCCTTACCTTTACCCCTCCAATTCTTTTCCCCATCAATGGGGGAGAGGAAGAGTGAGAGAGCAGCTGCGGGGTGTTTGGCTGCCAGCTGTGTTTAAACCACAATACAGGGAGACTCTAAACTTGTTCTCTGTGAAGTAAGTAACATTGGCTTTCATGAGCTGTGGAAGCCTGCCCAGTAAGCATGGAGACAGTTGTCCCTTAAGTTTCCATTAATTTAACCCATGCTTTGTCTGGTAAATCTCCTTGGCTTTAAATCCTGGAAGTGTCATAGGTAGCAGTGGTGATGGCAGGGTTGTATCACTTGTGTAATTACCTGGACAGTTTGTGTTTTAGCAACTTTCCGCATCTCTTTTTACTGTCATTTCCAGATTACCAGTTCTACATTTCTCAGCAGTTATTTGAAAAATGCCTTGTTACAAGGGCAGATGGGCACAAGGCAACTGTACCTGTACCTTCACCTCCTGCAGTGGCTGCTGTGGCTAAGAGGATAAGGCAGAGCCCCTTTGTGGCCAGGATCACACAGAGCAAATTGAGCAGAACGAATGTCCTTCTTCTGAAACTGTTCAAATTCGCATTTAACTTGTTGATGCTGCAACCCTGTTTCCAAATCAAGGTCACCCTCTAACCAACACAATAGTTGCTGTGTCAGCATTGCCTTAGGCAAGACCTGGTTGTGAGAAGTTTTCAAGACAGGGCTATAGCTGATAATGAGCTGTGAGCCTACTTTAAAATGAGGCAGTTCTTTAAAAATTAAAGGTGGGTGTTGGTGTGCACAGCTATAGATGTACACATATTTGGATATGTAATATACTTAATGTGAAATATTTTTGCTAAAAAAAATTGTTCCAAATAATTTCAGTGAATAAAGACTTAAGTTGCCCTAAATGTTATTTAGAGAAAAATCTGTTTACAGTTTGCTGCCTGAAGCTGCAGTAGAGCGAACAGAAGCCCTTTATTAAACTGAGCAGACCTGCTGAAGCTAACAGATTTTTATTCACAGCTAACAGTGGGAGTAAGAACTCCTGGGGAGGGCTCCTAAAGTTTAAAAACCCAAGAGATCGCCTGTGATTAGCAACAGGGTAATTTTTACAGCAGTGGAATAGTGAGTAAAATAGCCCAGGTCTTCAAACATGATGTTAAGTTTCTCAGAAAGGGATTTCTGACTCCATGGCGAGCTCCTCGATAGCTGGTGTTTAGACTAGAAATGAATATGCAGCAATTCCCAGGGCACCCTGGTGGGAAGAAGATACTGTAGAAGTCATGTATTTTTCACACATGTAGCAGCAAGACATTTGGAATTTGTGACATGGGGTCCAAACATACAGATCCAAATATTTCTTTGGTCATAAAGTCAGAAGTCTCAAAGTGAGAGCCAGAGGTTCTTTACAACTTGAGACGTGTATCCCCTCAGATACACAGAAGTAATCAAAATCTATGGAAACGCTAGAGTTGATGAACACCAGAGTTAAAGCCACCATGATAGGAAAAGCTTTGATAATTCTCACTGACGTTTCTGAATGAGTAGTATTATGGCTGTGTATGACCATAAATATGAGTATGGCAAATCAGGACAGATGGTCCATCCTTTGGTTGCAAACCCAGCTCAGTTACAAACAAGAAAACTCCTTCTGCTCTATTTATCAACTTGATGACCATACATCAGTTGCACAGTCTTCACAAGTGCTTACTCTGAAGGCTGACCTGGTTAAAAATCAACGGGGGGTTAATTAAATTTGCTCCTCAGGATGCGTACATCGCATCAGTGAAGAGATCGTTCAATATTTGTGTTCCTTAAATAGGTGCGTGGCAGAGTTACAAAGAAGTGAAAGCTCCTATTTTCAGTATATGCAAATGAGAAGCAGCTGGTGCGTTTGGGGCAGGACAGGGATTGAGCAGAGCTAGGTTTAGGGGAAACAAGGTCTCACATGGTTTATGCAAACACTGGGCTCCTGCCTGTAGAGGAGTACTGGAACTATTTATCTTTTCTGCACTTGAAATGAATACCTCCAATTGACAATGGAAAACACGGCTGAGCAGCTGAATGCAAGAATCAATTGTTCTCTTGGGACTTGCCAGGTTACTTGTCTGTAGAAATGCCAAGTTTGCTAGTGCTTTTCAGAAAGAACTGGTTTTAGCACTCAGCAGAACAAACGTCTGTCCTCATCTTTGAACTGTCCCAGTTGTGTTCCACAGCTTGAATCCAGT